ACTCCGCGAGGGACCAGAGGAATTTGGAAGGTCGCAAGCCTATCACAAACGCCTAAACTAACAGAGAGGGGTGAGTATCCGGTAAGCCCCGGATTTGCGTGGCAAAGCGATCCACAAAATGTGAGAGGGGCTCATCCTCTCTTTGTTTGAATCTGAGGAGCAGTGCCGCGGAGGGTTTTGGCCGTGCATAGGCTACGAAGTGGAGCTCGAAGTCGTTGGTGAGCTGGCCGAAGGAAGCAATCGTTCCGGGCTTCAAGCCGCCATACCACGCGTAGGCCGACCCTCTCAGAGTGGTAGGAAACACTCTGCACATCAGAGCATCAAAGGTTTCGTATAGCGTCATCTGGGCATGAAAAGTAGCTACATGGTCCGCTGCGTCGGCGGAGCCATCGTAAGCGTCCAGAGATGGGAGCTGGAAGTCTGGGGGGACTATCTGATCCCGTATCTCGGGCGTGAACGGAGACCCTTGGTGTTCGTCATCCCCGAGCTCTCCCTTGGGCCTGCGAACCTCTTCCTGCACCTCGTCGAGTCGCTGGCTGACGAAGCTCAACTAGGCCCGCAGGGAGTCTGAAGAGAGTACCTCGGGTTCCGGGCGGCCGCTCAGGTTTGTCATCACTGGATCCCCGAGTGGGGCCGGTTGGACCCGAGGCGAAGTGGGGGGCTCCGGGAGTGTCAAGTGGGCCCGAACGGGCGCCTTGCGTAGTGGTTCGATCGCGGGCGGGTGCGCCGGATGCGAAACGAGCGGGATAATGGTTTGCATCATTTCCATTAGAGCTCGCACTTGACTAGCGAGGTCCTGAAAGGCCTCAGGTGACACGGGCGTTGAGTCGGCTGGGGCGCCATCGGGCGGCGACAAGCCTGGGTCGTTGAGTATTCGCCAGTATCGTTTGGAGGTCGTGGCAGGGTGTTTGTCATGATGATCTCCGTGCGGGGGATGTTCCCCCGAGGCTTCGGTCGGGTGTGACCTCTCAGCCGTGGGCTTATCTGAGCCGCTCGGGTGATCACCAGACATTCCGGGGCCCTCTTTCTAGCGCCAATATGTTGTGGGAAACAACCTTGAGCCGTGGCCTCGGGGTCGACGCGACTCGGTTCGGGTCCGGACGTCGGGGATCTCTCCGGGGCATCCCTTGAGCCCGCGGGGTCGGTCCGGTGCGATGGTCCGATCGGGACGGGGTCGCCATCTCCTTCGGGCAGGAACTCCTCGTCCGCACATCCGGCGGGGACCCTCGGCTTCGCACCTGCACAAAGGTTGGGTCGGGGTGCTCAACCCGACCCCTCCGACGATCAAGTTAGCAAATGTGGAGGGGATTTTAGATGAAGAAGTGTTTTGGTGTGTGTCTCCCTCCCCTCTTCCGTTCGGAATGCGAGGGTATTTATAGGGAAGCTTACTGTTGTTTGATGTGCCCGCCCGCAGGAGGCAGGCTGGTAGCGTCTGACATAGGCGTTGGCATGACGTGAAGAACCGAGCCTGAGTAGGCGTTAATGCGCCTCGACCGGTGTTCCGGTTCGTTTGACCGGGTGTAGTTGCGTCGATCGAGACGTAAGGTGTCGGCTGACATCAGTCGAGTCATATCATAATTACTATCCTAATCACTCCTCATCTACAATAATTATTTGTGGGCCATCGATACAATAATTATCTCGTCATCACGTTATCACCCACCACCACAAACGTTGTTCGTCACTGATCGGGCTGGGTCGAACGGGTTCGGTTGGACCAGCTTGCCGTGTGTCGCCATTCCTCTCTCCGTCGATTCGATCGCGGATTCGGAGGCCGGAGGAAGACGAAGCATTCTCTTCTTCCCTCGCGTTCTGGGCTTCGTGGGATGGGCGATCCACGCTCGCCAGATCGAGAAGCAAAGACTTCTCTTCTTGGAATTCCGTGGGTTTCCTTTGTTTTTTGGACTATTAGATCCTTAATTATTATTAGATCCTTGATGTTTTAGATCCTGATAAGTGGTCGTTACGCTGGAGAGTGAGTTTGTTTAGCCAAGGTGCAGGTTTTGAGCTCTTATTATAGAGAAATTATCTGTTTTGGGTGTTAGACGTATTTTTATCATTTTCGGAGTATGTGAGCTTCGACTGAAGATAAGTAAGACCTGACGGATTTATGAGTACTTGATTAACTAATATAAGACTAAATAACTTTATTAGGTAGTGTTCTTATTTTTTCTCTCGTTGGTAAATCCGTGATTTTTTTTTTATTTCTTGATAATGAGATTCGTGATGCTTTTCCCTTTTAATTCCATGGTTTTATTTATTTTTATGCGAGCCATTCGATCCACTTCCTGGCATTTCCTTCCAACTGGTGGAATTTGAAAGATCGATGTTTTTTGTCTTCAGCATCTCGTGGCTTTGGATCTTGATCATCGTCTTCGGTGACATCCTGCTTGCTGGTGTTATTTTGCTTAACGAATCACGATTTCGAAGTCGGGTTGGGTTCAGACGGTGAGACTCGAGTCAGCGGTCGCGTCGGTTTGGATCGAGTTAGGACAAGGGGTTGTGGGATGACCGGGTTGGGTTTGGATGTACTTGCTTTTGCTTTATCGCCTAGGTTGGTGTGATCGACAGACGGCAAAGCTCTCGGAGTAGCAGGAACGGTGGCTTCGGCTCGGCGATTTGGCGTCTCCATGGATCTCTCTACCTTTTCTTATCAGAAGTTCGTAAATTTCGCGCTCCAGGAGACCAAGCTTCGCACCGGTCTCGCTCCTCTGCCCTCCCACGTCGGTTTGCTCTTCCCTCTCCACCCCATCATCTGTTCCCTTGTCTCTCTCGTGTCGTCTCTAGAGATTGTTTGTGTTTCTGTAAGTAGAAATAATAGTTTCGAGACAATAATGTTACTTGATGCTAAACTGTCAGCATATTAGATCTTGGTCTCGAATGGAAGAATCTCTTGAATTTGTGTCTCTAACATAGTAGCATATGCTGCTTATAGAATGTGAGGCAGGAGAGAAGTGACCTTACCATGTATTATAGCATCAAGATATTAATTTATATAAACAATAAAGAGATGGAAGAGAGCACTTTTAAGCCGAGAGTTAGTCTGCTGACTACCAAGTGATAGACAGATGGAAGAGACGGTGAAATCACGAATAACAATGAAACAAGTTGGACACTGTATGGACAGGAACTTGGGCATGTTTTTGGGCCCAAATAAATGTGGGGAAGGACCTCTGATTTACATTTTGACAAGCTAAAAGAAAATAGTTTGGTCTAGATTTCATGCTATTGATGAACTAACAATTTCCTTGACAACTAAACTCACTTTTAATTTTAACATAAATTTCATCATTTTGCTTGGCATATCACCTGGTATTGGTTCTCTAAACTTCGTGCTATGGCAATTTCTAAAATTATTTTGGAGGGAACTTTAGTATTTGGTATAATTTTTTTGGCTGGTAAAGAGGGGAGAATCCATTGGAAAGGGACAAAAAAATAAAACAAACGAGTGTTAGTTAACTTACAATAATGGAATATTCTGCTTTAGGTAGGTAAAAGGTTGCAAACCAAATCTCTGACATAATTCTACAAATTTTCTTGTTGATGCTCTCATTACTTTATATCTTCAATCTTTCATTAGGATGTCCAAAACTTTGTTCTAAAGCTTACTTTTTGCTATCATGTTCTCAGGAAAAGTTCAGGTTACTAAGGTCCAAAGACAACAATACTGTACTTCGTACACTTTCATTCTGTGCCCCCAAAATTAGACTTGTTCGAAGTTTGACAGTTGAAGGGAATCGTGCAATGCAGGTACCGCTCCTATTTTACATTTTTCATAATGAACCTTGTTATTCTGCTTGTTCTCTTTTGAATAAACATATTATTTCTATCAAGCTTCTTCTAAAGAGTGCATATACTGATAGAGGTGACGAGTTATATGTTTTAGAGAATTATAGAGGAGTGATCCCCCAACAATAGGATTTACCTGTTTGAATAATGAGGCACCCACCTCCACAAGGACTCAGACCTAGAATTGTGTCAAACGAATAAGGGAACCAGATCGATGCCTGGTTGCTTGCTGAATTATATGTCATCATACAATATTATTAAATAGATATCTGAGTTGCTAAAAGGTTTCTAAAGTAGGTATACTAAAAGGTTCCACCTGGTCCACTGATGCCAACCATTTGCCAAAACTGGTACTGGATCGATGTTTAGATTTAGATAGGCTTTACTAGGAAAAACTGAACATTAATAAGAAAATTCACTCGACATTTCCAAATTCCAGTGGTTTATTACACGTAGAATACAATAAGAGCTTAAGTTGCAAAGAAGCTATCTTGATGATCGTTGGTCTATATATTGAGGTGATTTTAGTTAGTGATATCAAAAGGAACTTAGGTGCTTGTGTAGCCGCTTGAGTGAAGTGAGGTGAGGCTCGACCATCTTTATGGAACCTGGTGAGACGCCTTCAACTGGGCATTGCCCAAGCGAGCAGCTCAGTTTCTACATTGGACCCAACCTGGTTCAAACCCAAATTCCCTTCCCTTGCCCTCCTGCAAATTCCCAACACTTGCACTCACCCTAGCATTTCTTCCACTGCTTGTGTTTCCTTCTCTGTCTGATATATCTCCTCTTCTCCTCTTTTCTCTTTGCTCCATTTTCTTTATCTCTTTCTCTGTGGGTGCTCTGCTTCCTTCTCTCTTTCCTTTTCCCTTTTCTCTTTTCCCCATTTACTCTCTCTCCTTGTGTGAAGGCATGCTTCCCCACAATCACCACCTTCTCTTCCCTCTTCTTTCACTTCCTCTTCTCTCATCTTCCCTCTCTGCAGCCGCCCACTGCCATTGCCATCTTTCTATTCCTTTCTCTACAGCCGACAGCCATCAATGCTGTTCTCCTGCATCCTTGCACTCTCTCCATCACTTGATAACTATTACTTAAATATAACAATTCAAACTACATTTCAAGTACGATAGCAATGCAAGATCTGCCAAAGGAATTATCATAAGAAATATATTAAAAAGGACCCAGGATGAAGGTACAACTATTTAAATGATCCAAAGATCCTAGTGCTGTCACTTAATGTTTTATTGCAAAACTACTGAGGGTGGAAAGTTCAAGTATGAGAACATCAAGTTGGAAAGTTTAAAATTCATTTACACAAAAAAATGTCCTCCAAAAATAAAGCAAGAGTTAAATATTTATATGAATGACAGAAAAAATGAATCTTTTAGTCATTTGCCTAGGTTTGATGATAATGTGGTTGACCTTGATGATCGTTACATTTCTTGGATTGTTAGATGTTTGTTTTTTTGGTTCTGGACCAATTTAATTATTATTTTATTAATCAAATACTTTATAGATGGATAGACATATGTAATTTAGTGTTTTTGGTGGTAATCATCTTGCATATGATATTGTATAAACTCATATTTTGATTGAATTTCTTTTTTTTCATTATTGTATTTTGTAGGATAAGCATCTTAGCTTGCTCAGGCAGGTGCCTCAGGCAATACAGGATCATGGCATCTTATAGTGCCTAGCATTTGGCAATATTAGCTTAGTGTGGTTGTTGAAAATCACATGATATGTGAGTAGGCCAGCTTCTTTATATGATATTATACCAAATTTACCGTGGTAAAGAAAAATGTTTTGCTGTAGACTATGGGTTACTCTATCAGAAATGTTCTCTCCTTGTAGATAATCTGTTCATTTTATGCACTTTATTCTCTTATACCGTATGTGGATTTGGTAAAGATCTTTTATGTCCCCCAAACGTGACCTGCAAGCTTCTCTGTTGGGCTTGAATTCTTGCCGCATATGATGCCTTATTTTCCATGCCACACCCACCTGTATTATTCAATCCATAACTAAATTAGATCTGCATTTCTGGGTTTCCTTGCTTATTAACACTCATAATTGATGAGTTCTTTTACTATTCAATTTTTTTGCCTTAAAAACTGCCTGTAATTTTTTGTGTATACCTTGCACGGCTGGGATACTTCTGAAACAAATTGCAGTGTCAGTTTTAATCTTTTTGTGCTTTTTTTATTTTGCATAGGCATAACACGGTAGTTATTGTGTGGCAGTCACATGCTGGTCATAGCAATGTATGGGATTTTTCCTAAACATGATGGCATGTCTGGTGAAAAAAAAAAGATTTTGATGAGTATAATTGGCTTAGATTGTCATGGTCACCAGCATCAATTAAAGCACCATGATAGAGAGAGATAGCTTTCTTTCTGTGTCAGCTTTTACAAACTAATCTATTCATACATAATACCATTTGGATGTGCCCCAGCTTATAAGCTTCAATATTTCACATCATAACTCCTGCCTTTACCACTTGATTTGATTGTATTTATTTTCTTTAGATTATTATATACTCCTTTCCAAATCGAAAGTGTGGGGTTATTTTAGTATTATAGATACTTATCTGATGAACCTAAGGACCATTGCTAGAATCATTTGAAGTTCAAATGATGTTTATCTTATTTTATTTTATTTTTGTAATACCTTGACTTTTTTAAGTTGCCTGGTACTTTAACTGCTAGACTACTGTATCTAGTAAGATAAAAAAGGAGTTTTCTTTCCCAAAAGAATTCTTGAAATTTATCCCAAATATCAGATGCACTATCATTTAGAGGCTTTTTGGAAGCGATCATTGGATTGTAAATCTTTATAATTTTTATGGTACTTCTGCTACTTATTTTTCTTTTCTCTGGCAGGTTCTTGATTTTGCTGTGTTCCCTGAGCCAGAATTTGATCTTCCTATATTTTGTGCTAATTTTTTTACCAATGCTAGCTTGAGCATCGTCGTCTTGTGAGTTACATTTTATTGACCATGTTTATTTCTCTCTAAGCTGAAGATAATAAGATTCATGTTCTTAATGCTTGCACCTTCTCTGGTTTTACTTTTGGTTACTTTTGACTGGTATGCTAAGTAAAAGATTTCCTGTTTTGTTCTAAGCACCCAATCAATTGATGGTGCTGAAGTCTTCATGGGTAAGGGACTAATTAGATGGGCAGTTTTAAGTTTTAACCATTTTATTTTTACATATCCAGTCTATCATATGTGATATTATGATTGCTAATGAACATATAATGTGTAAAGCCTATTATGCTGTTAAAACTAAGCATGGTAAAAGCAACTGTGCATATTGATATATCTCCCAGCTAGCTCATAGGCTACTATTCAATCTTCCATATTTTGATTCTTAGGAAATTACAGTGAAGTTCTCCAGACTACAAAGCATGCTTTAAAATACTTGGTCTATGTCATGATCTGGACACTGATCCTCCTTATTGGATACATGGTTACAAGTGTTGGTTACTTGAAACAAGTGTCTGACATCTACACATTTGTCCTAACATATATCATATGCGTAGAGCTCTTGGCCATGTTGAGTACTGGGAATATTTATGTATTTTGGAGTTTTGACTTACTATAAATGTGAAAACTCTCGTCAATCATGATGTATATTTTATGCTAGGCTTTGATATTGAGGCATGTTTTTAGACATCCAATATGTTCCTTGATGAGGGCATCAAGCTCTTAAGTGGGGAAGATTGAAGATTTGAGTGAAGTTATAAGAACTAGATGAGTTACTATTATTAAGTTGGACTTAAGCATTTTGGATCAGTAGTTTAGATTCAACAAGTTAATTAGTAAGTTATGGCAGGCCCAGTTGTGACACTTCAATAGGGGGATCTGTCCACTTGTCTTTTATGAGTTGATCCACTTCAAGGTAGATTGATAGGGCTCTGACGACCTTTAGTTGAACTAGAACTACAAATAAGAAAAGTCAAGCTAGATCAATCGAGCTCCAATCCTATATAATGCTTTTAGTCTGGTTGACTAGTCAAATATTGATGGGCATCATTTCTCCAATTGGGTACCCATATTGGCTAGTTAACTCTCCTGTAGACGTGGCCGTACTGGGGCTGCTGAGGGGATGACTAAAAATAAATGTATTGTAACTAGTGTTTTCCAATATTCTTATTTTTTTTCTCTGTTTCATCGTTTACTTTTTCCATATATCATGTCATTAGCATGACTATATTGGCATGAAATGAAGATAGCACTTAACTGTAACGTGGAATGCTTTAGGCTGTGATACATGCATAATGCAAGGTCTGGCATGGTTTGTGTTAAATGGGATAGGGTTCTGTTTGGCCATCATGATATGATTTAACCAATGATTTGAAATGTAATAAATTAGGTTAAAAACGATGGTGGTTGAATCCAGAAAGCTATGTACTTTGATTTTTCTTATTATTCAGTGGTTTTGCTAAAAATAGAATGGGTTGATTGTGGAGCTAATTCTTTTATTATCTACAAGATTAGATCCCGATTTCTACATTCAGTATCACATATCACAGTAATCCTAGATATACATGTACTGTAAGTTATTACATGGAACTTGGGTCACAGGTCAAGATAGAGTGATATGGGCAGGCATAGCACTTGATCATGGCATGTATTTAACCACCAATTATTAAAAGGTCATCTTACAGTGAAAGAATTTTTGGTTCAAATCGTTGCATTATGTTCTTGCATATCACCCTCAAACCATTATTAAACCGGTAGAGATTTTGGTTCGTAAGGCCAAGAAAATGGGAGAAGAAGAAAAGAGAATTAAGAGCAGAAAACAAAGAAATGGCTATAAGATCAATTAACAACCACGTTCTCTTCCTGAGCTTTTATCGAGCTTCCATGATGTGCCTTATTTAAGTGGAAATTTTGCAGGGATCTTAACCCTCTCTATGATGTCACCATCCATACAGACTACAAGGAGAAGTATTATAGAAAGTTACTGCCTCTTGGCAAGAAATACTTTGAGGTACTAAAACTTGTTACTTACATGTTACTGAGTCTTTAGTGATACTTTCAGATGTTTGTATTATGATTGCTATATATATAGCTTCAAATCTTAAACAGAGGAAATGCAGCTTCTGCCATGGGGAGGCAATATTACAGGCGAATCTTTGAGATTTTTCTCACCAATTGTGATATGGACAAGATTCACTTCAAGCCAATTCAAGCACGATGTTCTATATTCTGCATTCATGGATTACTTTAAGGTACAAAATTTTCATTCTCTTGCTTATGAAAGAGAAAAATAGTTCAACAATTTCAGTATTTTATCCTTAGAAGGCTTGAAACCAAAGAAGGATTTTATGTTTGCCATAATTTTTCCCATGTGATAAGCTAACACAAAATAGTGACGGATGGTAACTTAATTAACATAGAAGTGCTACTGATTTAAAAAAAAGCATAGAAGTACTACATACATGACTTGCTACTTTCCAATGAATCAAACTTCAGTTATACCGGTCTGACTAAGGATCGGTACCAAACCATATAGATTGGTTTCATTTGGTATTTATATTTTTTAGTATATCCTCTGGTGATACTGGACAATACAAGTTGGCATATAGTCTGATATTATTATTACCTGTACTGGTTAACCAGTTACCGGAATTTCTTCTTTTTTTATCTTGACTTGACCCAGATAAATCATTATCCAATTGGTCTAAGATTGATTGAACTTCAGTTATGTTTGGTACTGTGGTATAACTTTGGGCAATGGTCAGGATATCCTACCTATACTTTAACATGAAATTTTATTTTTGAGATATGAAACTACTTTGAGAAATGTACTATGCTGTATATGACAAACTATTATTTGGTGAACTAGATATATGAACTTGAGAATAAATGTTTATTGTAATCAAAGATGCTCTCATGGAGAGAAATACCAGCACATCAGGTCTCTTGTACTTTTGAAGGCACTTGGATTTTGTAGCTAAAAGTCTTTTGTTTTATCTCTTGACATCTGGTGCTTATAACCAAAAGTAATGTGGTTCTGAAAATAATTATTTCATGATAGGCGTGGCTTGCATTGATGGATGAAGCAGTTAAAGAGACATCTGCTTGTCATATTCATCGGAATCGTGAAGCACAGCATAAGTATCTTAGGTGGAGAGCTGAAAAGGTGTTTTGTATGCTTTGCAATTTTTTCTTGTTTTAGTTTTGAGATACGTAATGAAAAGGTCACGAGTATTTTGCGAAGTTGAATTGCTCATTTGCAACTTGTTTGTGCTGATCTGATTCTCTCTTATGGAGATATTACCAATGGGTCAGTGTTTTTGCAGGAACGGAACTTGTCATTTTTTATCCTAAAAGTGAAGAAGATAAACATAATTGTTCAAAGCATTTTTTTGTGATATCTTACAATATCTTCATGGCCATCTATTATTCATGTTCTTTGTTTTAATTGATAACATTTTCTGAAAAACAATTTTAACCACAGAATCAATGTAATGCTAATAATGTATTTTTTCTGTCTGTTTGTGGGGGTGATTTTTGGTCCACGAAATAATTACGGGACCAGCATTGCCTCACACCTGGAGCATAACAAAGATAGAATGCAATATCATTTTCAATAAACTCTGTTTGGCTTACCCATTATTGTGTATCAGGACCCTGGACACCCAATATTGAAGAAGTTGGTTGGAGAAAATCTTGCAAAGGTGCCTTTCTTGAAACTGCATCAGTTCTTTCAGTGACCTTTGCTACTGTTGCAGCATATCTTTTTGAAGGACTTCATTGACTTCCTTTCTCTATCGAATATAGGAGCTGGTGTGGCGTTTTCTTTTTGACGGAGTCGATTCACTCGGAGCAAAGACATTCTTGGACTACTTCCCTGAATATAAATGTGACAGCGGGACAATAAATCAGAAGCGCAGTGTGATGGGAAAGTCCTACGAGACACGCCCATGGGATCTGAATGGAGAATTTGTTGGTAATCATTCTGGATAATGTTTGGCACTCTTTTTAAAACTTGATGACCCTTAGGCCAGGATGACTTTTGTTGTATTGTAACTTTGTGTTAATTATTGCCATCGAATTAGGCTTTTCTTTAATCCTAGCCAAAAATTGCTGTCCAAATTTGCACCACGTATGGAAACAGAGAGTATGAACTCAATAATATAATTTTGTTTTCTGGAAGACTCTCTTTTTTTTTTCCTGCGGCTACTATGATATTGTCATGCTTGAATGTCATATGCTATTATCAACCACTTCATTTGGCTGCTGTTTATGCACATTTGTGTTTAAAACGTTCTAAATTCCATATTTGCTGGCACAGATAGGAGACCATCTACTTGAGACCGAAGGTTGATACCACAGTGGGCCAGGATGGTGAGCTTTAGACTTAACGGTATACCAATGGGTTGCTCCATTTTATGTTCTACTTGAGACCCAAGTTATATAAACCCTGGCCCTGATCTAACCTCACTTAAGTTAAATGGCAGACTATTGTCATGACAAAAAAGCTAACTTTAGATTCAATGACAGACCAAATGTTAGTTTTTCATCTCGCAATGCTTTGTGTTATTTCTTCTAACGAGTACGACCTTTTTACCCACAACCTGACGACATTCTTTATGAACAGGGACGACTGTTCGATGATGGATCGGACAAGCCGGAGAAGCCGTCCTCAGATACCGCAAGCAAAAAGACCAGGGAACTCCACGTGGGCAAGCCGAGCAAAAGTATCTCATGGCGCAACCAGAGTCACAAAGCACATCCCAAAAAGATCCACCCAAGTGTACGACGAAAGCTTATCGTGGTCGCCTCCCTCATCCCGCGCTGGAACTGCGAAATCCATCCCGGCCAATGAGAGCCCGAGCCGCGGCACACGCAATCCGAACGCACCCCCCACAATTCAATCGCCGCGGATACTCGCTTGCCCACTCCCTCGTTGTTCCTGTCGCGGACACGCGTCTCGGAGTCGACCACCAGAGGCGCCACAGCGACCGCCCCAATTCTCCTCCACATAACCCACTCCCGCCGCAGAGTATAACGTCGCGGGCGGTCCCTTCGTCTCCCTGCTTGCTTCGGTGGGAAGGCAGAGAACACCACCAGACCATCTCCATCCGTCCTCGCCTGTTACCCAAAGGGTTTCACGGATCAATTCGCTACTCGATGTCGTCCCTGGTGACAAACCCCTTCTCCGCCCTACGCAATTCAGCAGCAACGAGATCGGACGGCCTCTCCTCGGTCGTCCAGAAGAATGTCTTCCTCCACTCCTTCCTTCCCAGGAGGAAGCAGCTCGGCCACGCCTCCCGCGGCCGGCGGAGCTTCGGAGTGAGCTGCGCCGCCGTCGGCAACGGCCTCTTCACCCAGACGAACCCCGAGGTCCGCCGCATCCTCCCGGACTCCAACCCGGGCCTCCCCAGGGTGAAGGTCGTCTACGTTGTCCTGGAGGCCCAGTACCAGTCGTCGCTGTCGGCCGCCGTCAGGTCCCTCAACAGCAGCCGCCAGCACGCGTCGTTCGAGGTGGTGGGTTACCTGGTGGAGGAGTTGCGGGATGAGGAGACCTACCAGACCTTCTGCAAGGACCTCGAGGACGCCAACATCTTCATCGGCTCGCTCATCTTCGTGGAGGAGCTGGCGCTGAAGGTGAAGGACGCGGTGGAGAAGCAGAGGGATCGGATGGACGCCGTCCTCGTCTTCCCCTCCATGCCGGAGGTCATGCGGCTGAACAAGCTGGGCACCTTCAGCATGTCGCAGCTGGGCCAGTCGAAGAGCCCCTTCTTCCAGCTCTTCAAGAGAAAGAAGCAGTCCGCCGGGTTCGCGGAGAGCATGCTCAAGCTGGTCCGGACGCTGCCCAAGGTTCTCAAGTACTTGCCGAGCGACAAGGCTCAGGATGCCCGGCTTTACATTCTCAGTCTGCAGTTCTGGCTCGGAGGATCGCCGGAAAATCTCCAGAACTTCCTCAAGATGATCGCCGGCTCGTACGTGCCGGCGCTTAAGGGCACCAAGATCGAGTACGCCGACCCCGTCCTCTTCTTGGACAGTGGCATATGGCACCCGCTGGCTCCGGCAATGTACGACGACGCGAAGGAGTACTTGAACTGGTACGGGACAAGAAGAGACGCCAACGAGAGGCTCAAGGACCCCAACGCGCCAGTGATTGGGCTGGTCCTTCAGAGGAGTCACATCGTCACCGGCGACGACGGGCACTACGTGGCGGTGATCATGGAGCTGGAGGCCAGAGGTGCTAAAGTGATACCAATCTTCGCCGGCGGGCTGGATTTCTCAGGGCCTACGGAGAGGTACCTGATCGACCCGATCACCAACAAGCCGTTCGTCAACGCCGTGGTGTCCCTGACCGGGTTCGCCCTCGTGGGCGGCCCAGCGAGGCAAGACCATCCGAGGGCCATCGAGGCACTGAGGAAGCTCGATGTCCCGTACATTGTGGCGCTTCCCCTGGTGTTCCAGACCACCGAAGAGTGGCTCAACAGCACCCTGGGTCTGCACCCGATTCAGGTGGCGCTGCAGGTGGCCCTCCCGGAGCTCGACGGCGGCATGGAACCCATCGTCTTCTCAGGCCGGGATGCAAGAACAGGTTCAGCTCTGTTCTTTCTTTATTGCTGTGTCGTCCTCTTCCTGCGTCCTCTGTTGTGTCAGAACCTACTTGACTGATGTCCTATTTTTACGTTTGATTCTGATGTCCTCTGTGAGGCTAAACGTGGACGATTGATATGCTGGTGACAGGGAAGTCGCATGCGTTGCATAAGAGGGTGGAGCAGCTGTGTACAAGGGCCATCAGGTGGGCTGAGCTAAAGAGGAAATCTAAGGTCGGTACACATTGCCACTTAACTGCAGTGAATCTGTGATGAAGTGTTCCCATGTTTCATCGGCTTATGTTTGTGTGTTCTCGTGGAGTAGGAGGAGAAGAGACTGGCAATTACTGTTTTCAGCTTCCCACCAGACAAGGGCAACGTTGGGACAGCAGCATATCTCAATGTCTTCTCCTCCATCTTCTCTGTGCTCAAGGGTCTCAAGAAAGATGGTTACGATGTCGATGGCCTACCTGATACAACTGAAGCCTTGATCGAAGATGTCATCCATGACAAGGAGGCCAAGTTCAGCAGCCCCAACCTTAACATCGCTCACAAGATGACTGTGCGAGAATACCAAGCCCTTACCCCCTACGCCTCCGCCTTGGAGGAGAGCTGGGGGAAGCCCCCTGGCAATCTCAATTCTGATGGCGAGCATCTCCTGGTCTATGGCAAGCAGTACGGCAACGTCTTCATCGGGGTGCAGCCGACGTTTGGTTACGAGGGCGACCCCATGCGCCTCCTCTTCTCCAAGTCCGCCAGCCCTCACCATGGCTTCGCAGCCTACTATTCCTTCGTGGAGAAGATCTTCAAGGCGGATGCTGTTCTCCACTTCGGTACTCATGGTTCCCTCGAGTTCATGCCCGGGAAGCAAGTCGGCATGAGCGACGTGTGCTACCCCGACAGCCTCATCGGCAACATCCCTAACATCTACTACTATGCGGCTAACAACCCATCCGAGGCCACCATCGCCAAGCGTCGAAGCTATGCCAACACCATCAGCTACCTGACACCACCTGCGGAGAACGCCGGGCTCTACAAAGGGCTCAAACAGCTCGCGGAGCTCATCTCGTCCTACCAGTCCCTCAAGGACACCGGGCGCGGCCCTCAGATCGTGAGCTCCATAATCAGCACCGCCAAGCAGTGCAACCTTGACAAGGATGTGGCTCTGCCGGAAGAAGGGGAGGAGATCTCCGCCAAAGAGAGGGACCTCGTGGTGGGCAAGGTGTACTCCAAGATCATGGAGATAGAATCTCGATTGCTGCCATGCGGGCTCCACGTGATCGGTGAGCCTCCCTCGGCCATGGAGGCGGTGGCCACACTGGTGAACATCGCAGCGCTCGACCGCCCCGAGGATGGAATATACTCGCTGCCCGGCATACTGGCGGAGACCGTGGGGAGGAACATCGAGGACGTCTACAGAGGAAGCGACAAAGGTATACTGGCCGATGTGGAGCTCCTCCGGCAGATAACAGAGGCGTCGCGCGGCGCGATCTCGGCCTTCGTGGACCGGACGACGAACAAGAGAGGGCAAGTGGTGGACGTGGCCGAGAAGCTGACGTCGATGCTCGGCTTCGGGCTGGTGGAGCCGTGGATGCAGTACCTGTCCAAGACCAAGTTCATAAGAGCGGACAGGGAGAAGCTTCGGACCCTGTTCCAGTTCTTGGGGGAGTGCTTGAAGCTTGTCGTGGCCGACAACGAGTTGGCGAGCTTGAAACAAGCTCTCGAAGGCAGCTACGTCGAACCTGGGCCTGGCGGCGACCCCATCAGGAACCCGAAGGTGCTGCCGACCGGAAAGAACATCCATGCTCTGGACCCGCAGGCCATCCCGACGGCTGCAGCCTTGCAGAGCGCCAAGGTGGTGGTGGACCGGCTGCTGGAGAGGCAGAAGGTGGACAACGGGGGGAAGTACCCCGAGACCGTGGCGCTTGTGCTGTGGGGCACGGATAACATCAAGACTTACGGGGAGTCCCTGGCTCAAGTGCTCTGGATGATCGGTGTGAGGCCGGTCGCCGACACCTTCGGCCGCGTGAACCGCGTGGAGCCAGTCAGCCTGGAGGAGCTTGGCAGGCCGAGGGTGGACGTCGTCGTCAATTGCTCCGGCGTCTTCCGTGACCTCTTCATCAACCAGGTACGAATCCATGGATATTCCCCAACAACTGATGCGGTCGGTGCCGGGGATGTGCTTGTGACCGAGTTCTGATGTCGCTGCAGATGAATCTCCTGGACCGGGCGGTGAAGATGGTCGCGGAGTTGGACGAGCCAGAGGAACAGAACTACGTCAGGAAGCACGCGCTGCAGCAAGCGTCGGAGCTGGGCGTGCCGGTGCGGGAGGCGGCCACCAGGGTCTTCTCCAACGCCTCCGGGTCCTACTCCTCCAACGTCAACCTGGCGGTGGAGAACTCATCGTGGAACGACGAGCAGCAGCTGCAGGACATGTACCTGAGCCGCAAGTCCTTCGCGTTCGACTGCGACGCGCCGGGCGCGGGCATGACGGAGAAGCGCAAGGCGTTCGAGATGGCGCTGAGCACGGCGGACGCCACCTTCCAGAACCTGGACTCCTCCGAGATCTCGCTCACGGACGTGAGCCACTACTTCGACTCGGACCCCACGAA